TTTCTTGACATAACCAAGGGTTTTTAATTTATTTTCAATGCATGTGTGCGACACATTGAGCTTCTCTGCAATATCTCGTGTTGTGCTATGACGATTTGAATCGATAATGGCCTTGATATGGGTTTCATCCACTTCGACTGGGCGGCCAGATCGTTGTGAATTTTTCAGTGAAAAATCACCGGAACGAAATCTTTCAAACCAATTTCGACACTGCCTTTCTTTTAAGGCTTCATCTCCATATACGGCACATAACTTCTTCTTTTGTGCTTGCGATGCGTTCTTGCCTTTTCGGAAGTAATACAATAAAATGTGTCGGAAGTGCACGTCCTGTTCTTTCATTTTTAAATTGGGATAAAAACAAAACTAAAGAACTAAACAAAAAATTTTTTACTAATTAACCTAGAAGCCCATACAGTAAGAAGAAAATATAGGTTAGATGCTCTGGCCAAGTTAACAAAACAAAAGAAAGTATAGAGTGAATCTGTCAACAAAATCGGCAATGACTTAGTTGCCTACCCAATTATAATTGCACTTTGACATGCTTACAAACATGCTACATTTGTAGATACGTAGACATTGTTAAAAACCGGTTAGTCCATAATGACATTGAATTTCAGCGATTAATTAAATAAGTATTGAAATAACAAGATAAAAGCGTATATTCAGTGAAATGAAATCCAAATCTTATTTCTTTCAAATTATGTTTAAGATATTATTTAATACAATCTCCGTCTTCATAATTGCCAGATCTCGACCAATTAGATGATCAAATTTTATATCCATCCAGAGCTCACTAAGTGGAAGTCGAATGAAGTTGTATCCCCTTGCTAAATTTTTTTAAAAAACAGGTTTTCTTTTCGAAATTGAGAATGACAAAATCCCAAATCCAATGAGAAGCTATATATATGATCAGGGGTGCGCGATAGACTTATCTCCACGTGGTGCACTCTGAGCAACGTATACTCATACGGCAAAAAGTTTTTAACCGGCAGTTGACTTCTGACTTCAAACTACCATCACCCCACTGTATTTCATATTCCACAGCTTCCACAATGCTCATTTTACCTTTTCTCTGCTTTTGTGTCCGTCAATTTTACATCTGTGAATCATTATTCTGTCCCCCTCTCAACATTTTGTCACGTTGAAGCTCCACCTATCTGTGAAGCCCGAAGTAAGCTAAAGTGTTAATGGTAACTGTTAAAATGCCTGTCATTGGAAATAAATAAATATAAAAAACCAAATTCATAGTTTATAATAGATAAAATTTTAATGTTGCTTATAAATGCTCACTTCTTAATGGTTCTCCTAATGTTTGTTTAAATGTCGGCTGAAATTTTAAGTCCTTATGAATCATTTAGTTTTCAAATAACTAATTGGCAAATTTGTAGGCTATTAAATACTTGAATGTATCAATTGCATTTTGAAATAAACTCTCCACTACTAAATATTGCAAAAAATAAGTTTTATCTACTTTCTCAAGAAAAGTTATTTTAATTTTTTTAACATTCAACTAGGCCTTTATATGATATTTCATATCCATTTGTTCACTTTACCTAATTAAATTTATTAAATCGATATCAGTTGGGCAATAGATAAAGATTCTTGAGTGTTCGAATGAGGTGGGAAAAAAAATTTTAAATAAATTTTTATTGTTTGATAATTTGATACTTCACTTTGAACAACATTGATAATTAAAATAATTGAGTATGGGGTATAAATTAGATTAAAATTAATCATACTGACGATTTCAAAAAATTGGGATATTTTTGAATTCGGTTGTTGAAGGATTATGCTGAAGTTTGAAATAGGTTGCAAGGATAGTTTATACATTTCAAACCTGAACTATAACATACTTTTGATTTAATAATAGCCTAAAATTGAATAATTACATGTCAGAATTATTAATACCCATTGAAAAACATTTTTTGGAATGTTAGTCAAGAAGGAAATAAAACACTTGAACTCAGAAATTCATGATTTCATCTCCTAATATTCAAATTTCTAATTTCTCTTGATAAATTCTGTGTGAATTTATGCTGCAGAGGCCTATAGCTTATTGACATGCTATCCAATGTGGGTGGTCGATTGAATCCTGTTGACGGTGATATAAAGAAACAGATCAAACAATAGCTGACAAAATCTTTTACCCTCAGTCTCTAGAATGGTTTAAAGTGCATACTTGCCTACCGACCTGAAGCCGATCTTCCCTAACCTGTTGCATTTGCGGAAATGCCAGTTTCTTCCCATGGAAAATCTAGGCTGGCTTTTGGGGAATAGAATGCTCTTCCTGTCATTAAACTTGAGAGGTAATTTAAGAATGCAATGTGAGATTAAAAGAAAAAATCTGCTATAATGAAGGCAGACCTCACTGACCATGACCTCACTGTATGTCAAAGTTGACCACTTCTACAGCATTCACCTTACCCTACTCTCTATCATTGTGCCTGTCTCTTTTACATCTTCAAATCACTCTTCGGTCCACCCTCTTGAACTTTGATGTTTCTACCCTCTATGAAGTTCGAAGTCAGTAATGGGCTAATGATAGCTATCGAAACGCCAGCCTTCGAAATCAATCGCCCAAATTACCGAATTCAAGGTTTTCCATCAGTATACGTCAAAGAGGGTAATAATGTCTTAGCATTCTAAAATATTAAACTAATTGTCTTATTTAAAGCGAGTTGATTTAGCGTTTACAACTCATCACATTCAGCAGTCACATCCGCAGACGATTAAACTGTCCCCGACTGCAATGGGAGGCGTCAAGTTTCCGATATCCATCTTCTCACGTCCTGTGAATGAGTTGCCTGGCTTGAAAAGAGGCTGGCAAAATGCAGGCTCTATAAGATCCTATCACACTACATAAGGTAGCAAACTAAAGTCAGGCAATTATTAAATACTTTTAAAGATAGCATCATTTAACTTTATGCCCTCTTCTTTTCCAACTTGAAAATTTCATTTAGTTAGGACATTGTTTGTTGGAAATAATGAATATATATATATATATATATATATATATATATATATATTTCAGATAATAAGTAAATGTGTGTTTATTAAATATGATTATCATTATTATTAGTTATGAATATATATATATATATATATCAGATAATATGTAAATGTATGTTTATTAAATATTATCATTTTTATTAGTCGGATCACTTAGCAATGATGGATGTGTTTGGAGGCTTTATTTGAAATTGTTCAGTAAGTTAATCTCCACGTCATTGCTCTTTTATAGAGGTACTTCAATTCGTGAATTTTTTGAGGTGAAAAAGCTGGCCAAATATGGGTAAAATTTAAAGCGAAATCTTGCTAAAGTGTTAGGAAAATTTATTTATTTATATCAAATGTCAGGCGTTTTGATAGTTATCGTTAGCCCTTTAGTTGACTTCAGGCATCACAGAGGGGAGGAGGAACATCAAAGTGAAAAAAAATTCGAGAGGGGGGAACAGAAGAGTGTTTCAAAGATGTAAAAGAGAGAGATAGACACAATGGTAGAAAAAAGGTGAGGTGAGTACTGTGAAGTAGTCGAAAACGACATCTAGTGAGGTGATGGTAGTTTGAAGTCAGAAGTCAACTGCCGGTCAATGGACTTTTTTGCCGTATGAGTATACGTTGCCCAGGGTGGGACACATGGAGGTAAGTCTGTCGCACACCCCATAAGGAAAATTTTGAGATGGAGGAATTTGAGAGATTGGAGGAAGATGAAATGTGTAACCGTTTTCCTTCACAGTCTCACTCTTTTTAAAAAGGGCAGACCATTTTGTTTTAACTAGAGTGCCCCATCTTCAGTGACTTCTTCAATGAAATTTCTTCCATATTAGAGAAGATTATAACTCAGCGTTGTCTTACATTTTTATTTCGTTGGGAAAATCATTTTTGAATGATTAATTAAACCATTTTTATCCCAATTCACTGTCGATTGCTTGTCATTCTGCTCAAAGACAGTAATGCCTTCCATCATTTACCAATTGAGATAATAATTCTGTTACAATAAATCACCTCTTATTCGTTAGTGGAGAAATGCTCTCTCCTGTTTTGGTCATTAACTTTTTATGCATTAGAAATAAGTTGCCGCTTATAGTTCATAAGTATCTGGCATATAAATATTTAATATTTATTTGTCTTCGTTATTATTAGAAGTATTACTGCTATTACTCTTGGCGCTAGCAAAGAAGTGTCTTTAAGCTCTTATCATGGGAAAGACTCTGATTAAAAATGGTTCAATGAAGAATGGAGAGCAAGTAGATTTCAAACGAGAGGAGACAGGGCAACGGAAATGCCTCCTTAAATTGTCCTCTGAATGCGTCAATTTTACTGAAGATGTACACTTCAATATGCAGTACTCTAATTTTACTTTGCATTATCTGATCTCCAGGCTTTTGCTTGAGTTAAATTCAACGATTTTTACTGCTTCTCAACTGCTTAATCATGCCACATCCATTAACTCTTATTTTCTGATTTTTAAAAGGCAAATAGATTATTTATTATCAATATATTTTTAATAATTGAATTTTTGCTTAGTATTTGACAGCCAGTAGATCTCTATATGGTTGAGCTACGCAAACCTAATGATTTAGTTCACCATTTAAACGTTTTGCCAGCTTTTAATAACATTGAACTGCTCATCGAAATTGTCAGCGTTTGGCTTGGAGAAACTTCATATTTAAGTTATACTGGGCTTACCAAATAGAAATTTCCAATTATTCATCAGTTTCCAAAACGTATTGAAGTCTGATTAGCAGAAGCGATTACAAGCCTAGCACATTTGTCTTCATTCGTTAAGATTTTCCAACCCAATCACTCTCTTTTAACAACAGTTTTAGTTAGGTTTTAACTACTCACTAAGTGGTAATATCATTAGTGTCGCCTTGAGTTTCATACAGATTAGCTTAAGCTGCAAAATGATGTTCAAAATATACATGGAATAATGCGCATGGAGTATTTATTTTATATGAAACTGCAAATATTCTACTTATAAACAAAAGTAGTACATGCTAATTATCATTCGCTGATACAAGAATATCGCATGCCGTTTTATGTCGTGGCCAATGTTCAACCTGGCATTGTCGACGACAGTACCATTCATGTTTGCATCTTGAACATCGTTTAGTAGCCACTTCTCTACAAACAACACACCTAGGAGCACGCAGAAGTGGATGTTCAAACGAATCGGCTTCTCCAGATGCGACATTCACGGGCTGAGCACCAAAAAGGACTCCAACATTTTCCTCTGAGAATGCATCTGCCCAGTTCAATGCAGCACGCTTAGCCGCCTCGCAGCCATCTTGCGATAGAATATTGGCAATAAATTCCTCTGCAATTGCTTTCCATTTGCCCCTATATCTAAGAAAACATCATTACTACTAAACAACGGATAACACAAACCTATGTAAGATTCCGTCATGAATTTCAGCCACATCTTCAATATGACAGAGTTGAGCAACAGCTACTGCAGAGTACTTAGGACCAGATGTGCGAGCAATATTTGTAGCGGCGCTTTCAGACATAGCATATTCTTCCAAGAAACGCCGTAATTTACCAAGAACTGGAATAACGTCAAGCCGAGTTTCTGTAAGAAGTGGCCTCAAACTAAGTAGAGCCTGACGTCTAACACTATTTCCAATAATTTCGTAATTCATTTCTCGCATTAAACCAGAGAAAAGTAGCTGATAAATTGACAACCAAACCTAAGTCAATTGAAAACAATGTCTATTTAGAACACTTTAAAGTGGCATCTAGGAGAGGCAAATGAAAAACAATGTTCTACCTGTCCTTCTGTCTTTGTCACTGAGGACCAATTCTTTTCATTTTCTGCTATCCAGCAGCCAGATTCATGCCACTGATAATTCGTTCGACATCCTGAAGAATCTACCTCTTGACAGGACCAGGGAGATAGTATCAGAATGTTGCAGAGTAAACAGAGGAAGTCGTGTGTATGTAGAATTCTTCGAGAAACTCCCAAAGGAAGAGAAGATGATGCACCATCAATCCCACTGCAACAATGTCCTATTAAATGGCATGTCAGTGCTATCGCCTTCATGCTAATCTCAAAGTTTATTATTGAAGCCTGACGTTCCAGTTCTTCCTGACTAGACTCCGAAGATTTCGTCTATTCTGAGGTTAATATAAAATCAAAAATACATTACCTGATCTTTTAAATTTCTAATTGTGGCTTTCTTTTCCTCATTGACTGTCATTGTTACCAAGCGACAAAGGGCTCTGTAGCACCAATCACTAAGGTCAATTGCACAATCACTTAAGCTATCAACCACATCGACATGATAACTGATCGTTTCCAGTAAATTCGTTAAAATAAGTTCGTGATAAAGGACCGCATATGTAGGGAAAGTGGGTATATTTTCTGTGATTTTTTTTAAAACTTTATTAAAGGAATTTCGGTGCCACAGCTCAGTGGATATAAGGTCTCGGACAAGAAAGCCAATTTTTTGATGGGAAATAATAAACTCCTTGACGAATTCATCAGTTCCTGATCGAGCTGACGCAACTGCCTTATTATGATATAAATGGTAAATTTATTAATACCTGCATGTTCAATTTGTCTAGATAAGCGTGTTGCTTATACCATGACTCCGTTCCAAATAAGCTATAATCTTGAAATTTAAGAGCTTCAACAAACGCCTCTGCTTCATTGGGAACGAGAATATACTACGATTTATTAAAAGTAGTTCGATCAGGCTCATGGAAAAATTCATACACATATTAATCAATGAAGCAAAAATATAAAAACAGAATGAAATTTAGTCTTTTAAAAGTTTCGCAACATAATCTCTTTAATTTTAATAATTCTAAAACAGACACCGTTCATTGAACTTGATTCGATTTAATGACCCCCATAAGGCGATAGCAACAACACCTAATTGAGCAGTATAAACAAAATTGGGTTGACATTTTACACAATACAGGGCTTAAATTCAGAGAGCCAACCGAATTTGCCTTGAAAATTTTACGAATTCAGCCTTTATACTCCAGTTTAAAATAAATATGCCATCATGCAAAGAAATAATGAATCAAAGGCTAATTCAGTGACTCCGTTTATGCAGAATAATTACAGTTCAATTTCAAAATTCCTTTCAAATTACTTAATTATGTAAACCAAATCATAATAGCTTATTTAGTTGTTTTATAATCTTTAATAAAGTATTTAATTAGAGGAGAATCGTCAATGGGGAAGTTTAAAATTTCAAATAAGAAGATTTGTTTAGAAATATATTAATAGCGCTTGTTTAACAATAGATCTAACCGTTGGTCAATTAATTTAAATATTTAGAAAAAACTTTTTATTCGGTTATTGAATTAGTATCGGAGAGAGACAATTGCAAAAAATCACGAAAAATTGCTCAACAAAATTAATGTGCTCCCAGACTTATGATTATAAAATTTTAAATCTTTTCTCTAACTGCATCTTAATATCTCGATGAGAGCTATTCATTTTATACCTATGATGGATTTTAACACGAACAATTCTTGAATAATCCTTGGTAATTTCCATAGCAATGTATCCTATAATTCATAGACTCCCGAAATTCGATAAGCTATCTCAATAATTTTGGAGGGTAACTGACTAGTAAAGAATACAGAGTTTGTTAAAATTTAGTGACTGAATACACTTAAAATTATTTGAATGTACATTAAAACTTGATTACTTGAAATGTCCTCTGCACTCACGTCTACATCCTCCAGAGGGCTCGAGTATGTATGAGATTATTAAGCTTAATTGTGTTAATTGTACTTCCTGTATTAATACATTTAAAGAAGTTAGCAAACTTTTATCCCAATAAATATGATCTTGTGTTTTCCCTTCTGTTATGAAAATTTAATTTTGCAACGACTACGTCTAAATACAAGAAATGTTTAAAGAACCATACACTTACTGAAATAATTTCATGGTAACTAAGAAATGTCAGGTAAGCCTGAATTAAATTATTTTAAATTAAGAGAGCATTCCACCTTGTTGTAAAATTGTATAACAAATAGCAAATAATCAAACATTAGCTATATTGGCTAGTGAAGAGAACTCGTTATAATTTGTGAATTTGGAAAGCTTACCATATCAAAGTTTTGGTTATATTTTTGCCCAATGAAATTGACTATTAAGTGAAAGATGTATAGATAGCAGACAACTGCCCACAATTGACGGTCTAGACAATGTGAGGTTGCTCATATTTAATGCCAGTTCATACATACTTCGGTGAAATGAAGTCTAATAAGGGGAATGACTTAACTTTTAATACTTCATGGATCCTTTCTACATCGCTTTAACACTGAAAAGGGTAACTTGTATGCATGGTATATATATGGAAACACAAGTTAAATTTTTGTGAAAATGGCTAAACTATACTATAAGTATGTTGTCAAGTATGTAAATCCATTTTGATATACAAGGTGGAATTGTTTTCCACTTGAATTACTATTTTCTTCTTCGAGTTAACTATGCGAGATGTAGTCCAAATTCGTATTACTCTAACTCGAGCATTTCGGAATAGAACTGCTAAAGTTAATTGCAGCAGGTTCAGCATTGTATGATAACATTAAATGAATAAATATTCAAAACTTATTTGCCTTATAATATCTTTTTTACAGAGTGTTTTAAATTTGAATGAAATAAATAAGGTGACGAAATTTGAAGCAGCTTTAGTAATGATCAACTTTTAAAGGATTTATTTTTGTTTGAAAAAACTGATATTAAGGGCGGGTTGCTTGATTATTTTTTCTTGCTCAAAGGGTGTTTTATGGCTACCGTCGAAACAACACCTTTGTTTGACCCTTTAGTTGATAAAAAATTGTCAATAATCCTTAAAGAACGCAACTTAAATGCTCTACATGACATTATTGAGTCACATTGTTCTCCTGACTCCCAGAATATTCTTGATATCCTATCTTGGCTTCTAAGACAGTTGGCCGATTCGTCTGCCGAGCATCCTCCCGGTTTTGGAGATTTCGCAAAATCGCACATCCAGAGTCTTTCGCAATATGTAACCTCGAAGGAGTTTCTAGTGATTACTCTAGGGGAATTAGAAGGCCGCGGATCTATGCATCTTCTTTCATTTTCTATGAGCTTTATTGAGTCATGTGCTCTTTCAATCGGACTAAGTAGTACTGCAGACATACAAAGCTTATTTAATGTTATACGCAGGAATATGCATCAAATTTTATTAAACACTCACAGCTCGCGTTTTTTCAAATGTGGTGGTGTTTTCACCACGTTTCTCAAGGATTTTGGAAAGATGCTTGTGTCTCTGTTTTCTCAAGATTTGGACAATATATGCCTCGAAACCTATGCTGATGACGTACTGTATTATTTTGCTGAACCACTTCAGTTCTTGGATTTTAATGCTGATAACATACCTATTTTCGAATCATTCCTTTCAGTTTTGGGGATAGTTATTCCATCCTTATATTCCGCCTGCTATAAACCCTACCATTTATCTTATATATCCACAGATACTTATTCTCATCCTTTTGAGTTTGCTGATAACTATACAGCTCTTCTCTTTGTTTGGAACTTATGTCTTTCTAATAAGGCCCTTCATTCATTTCTTCCATGTGTTTTTACAAAATTGTACAAATACGAAGTGCTTGTATATATGTGTATTCCGCTTGTGGAAAAGTTGACTAACAAACTTGCTCAGGACAATTCTCTTTCTCCAATTGAAACTAAACAGTTAATACGGGTTCAGAAAGGTTTAATGAGCAACTCTTCGGATCTAAAGGAGTGTTTTCCCTCCTTGTGGTGGCGACAACGGGTAGTTTTTCTTATCAAGAACTTGGAATCCTTCTGTAAACACCCTATTATGGGTATAAAAATTCCTAGTGAAATTGTTAACTGTATTTCCACAATTGAGTCTCTTCTTTCTACCGCGACAATTACAGCTCGCTGCCAACTCTACGCTGAAATTTTCGATCAATCATCTAAACCTTTTCATAGTGGTTTTCGATCTCATATGATTGTCAACTTCAAGAACTTTCTTCACTCTAATCTGATCTCCTGGAAGGAGGATAAGGTTTCGAAAGAGGAGAAATTAGGAGAAACCTGCGTTGTTCTACCGTATTACCCTGTTTATCTGCGCCAAATATTTGACCTGATCTTCATATACCCACTTCCTGATTGTAACGAGATTTTTATACATCATTTTGGCTGGTTGAACGCAGCTCTAAATTTCGCTTTTTATATAATCTCACGCTACAATGGGGTAAATAATGGAAACTTCGACGAGCAATTGAGAATCATAATGCATGATGTTGTTCTAGCACTCAGCAGGCCTAGTGATAATGGAAGGAGTACTCTGGAAACCAAATTCCTCGAACCTCTTTATGAAGCTATTATTACAACTTCAAACAAGTATAAACGAGCAGTGTCAGAATATGAGAGCAATCCGGATCCATCCATGATTGCACCTAATGCGCCGTCGCGTAAGCAATGCGATCGCATCTTAACTGATCTTCGGTTGCTTATGACAAATTTGTCCTCTGTTAAGGACCTTTTGTTGACATTGGTTTTATAATAAACACCTTTGCTCTTTTAGACTTCTCTTTTCAATTCTATCTTGTAATGAGGATTTGCTGATTGATTTTTTACCATTTATTGAATTTAGATTTTCCCAGTATCAAAGATGATAGTGTCTGGGTTTCAACGGTGGGTACACAAAAAACTTATATTATTAATCCTATTTGTGAATGATTGCGGGAATTTAACGAATTTCCTCTTTAGGTGCCTCACTTATGCCTTCACCTTATCGAGGACGCATCGAAGAGTTATCTCAGTAACTCAACGTCGACTCCTTTCTAGTTCTTCGATTTCTTTTTCAGTCTTTGCGCCTGCTAGAATGATACGCAATCCAATCAACAGAATGGGTATGTTAGAAACCTAAATGCTCAAATCGTACTATTACATTAATCACTCTTCTTAGTCCTAATGAAATAAATATTAACATTTTGAAGTTTCCTATTCTCACGGAGAGTTTTATGATGCCGTTCCATTCCTTTTTTTACTTTATTTTGTACTTCACTTTTAGCCTTTTCCACTTCTGGCTCAAGTACAGTTGATGGATCAACATCCATCCCCTACTCATCCCACAATAGAGCAGAAAGCGACTCAGACAGTGATTGCAATTCATCCTTCAGGGAAGACGAGGCCGCTTTGGAGCAGATGTGTGAACGAGCTATGGAGGCTGCGATCCCCCACGTACGCACCCTCGGTTGGTCCCGGAGTGCTCTTGAAGCGGCTTGCATTGACCTCAATCTTCCTCCCGGTCTCCACACTGTCGCCCTTCCTAGAGGACCTATAGATCTAGTTCTCTACTTCTATGAGTCGAGAAATCATCGACTCGCTGATGTTCTTGCCAAGTGGAGAAAGGAGGAGCCAGGTGCTGATGGACAGTTGTACAAAGTCGCCAAGCCTAATAGGTTTGTTCGTCAGTTATTGTCTTTCATTTTTTTCCAGATCCAGAGCATCCAAGATTAAAAACAAACACCCGGTTCTAGATCATTTGTGTTCTAAATTATAAGGTGGCGATTGGAATGAATATAACTGTGATAGGCGTTTTTCCAAAGACTAATTACCAGTTTAATTAACTACGGCTTTTTTATTTATATCAAATGCCAGCCTTTATGATAGTTATTATTAGCCCTTTAGTTGACTACGGGCTTCACGGAGGGTGGGGTGGGGGGTGGGGGGTGGGGGGGGGGCTTGCGATTATCAAAGGCACAAAACGTCGAGAGGAAGAAGAGTGATTTACAGACACAAAGGTAAAGAAAAGGTAACGTAAGATGAATACTGTGGAAGTTGAAACGATGGCATATAGTGGGGTGATGGTAGTTTGAAGTGAGAATTCAACTATCGGTTTATAGACTTTTGCCGTATGAGTATCGCGCACTCCACAATGCCTTATTATCCTTTATTTATTAGAGCCAGAAGAATCGATTTTTTTTATTTTAATGTGGTTTTTTATGATTACTCTTTATTCCAATCCGTCCAATTGCATCCTATCTTCATTTCTTTCTCTAAGATTTGAGATATTCAGAAACGATTCATTTTTTGGCATTACATTTGACTGGGCTTTGATCTGTACATTTAATTTATTTTGCATCTATTTTGTATTTATTCTAGAAATATGCGTCGAAATTTTGTTCTGGAGCTATCTACGCACAGTTTTTCATCATTTTTCCCTATTAATGTTTGGGTAGACGAATTATCTGACATGAAATTCTCCTAGTTGGCTTTATTCACGTGGTTTTAATTTTGTATTACTTTTGTCATATTATTAGTTATTAGCACACAGAGATTTCACATTTATGAATGTCAACAATTAAGATAACTATTTATTTTTTTTATATCAAATGGCAGGTGTCTTGATGGTTATCATTAGCCCTTTAGTTGACTTCAGGCTTCACAGAGAGGAAGGAACATCAAATTGAAAAAAGTCGAGAGGGTGGGGGGAACAAAAGAGTGTTTCAAAGATGTAAAAGACAGACACAAAGGTAGAGTGAAAAAGGTGAGGTGAGTACTGTGGAAATAGTCGAATATGGCATAGAATGAGGTGATGGTAGTTTGAAGTGAGAAGTCAACTGCCGGGTTTATAGACTTTTTTGCCGTATGAGAACACGTTGCCCAGGGTGCACCACGTGGAGGTAAGTCTATCGCACACCCCACAATTAAGATAACTTATTAAAAGGTAACATTTTTTAAAGTCATCTGTGAATCCTCTCTAACTAATAATTCTATTTTAGGCTTGATGAGAGTGATTTTGTGATGTTTCCCTTTTTTTTAAGGAGGTGTTTATTTTTCATTAATGGAACTCTCATTATTTGAGTTTTATTTTAAAATTGAATTATGCGGAGCAAAATTTTTTGTCGACATTATTTTCAACCTCTTGAGGTTTCTTTCTTTCCGGAACCCGGTGGTTTTTCCCGGTCTTAACATCACTGTGGTGCTAGCAAATAGTGAAATTTTTCTTGTTGTCGAACAAACAACTGCCTTCAATCGGCCTCCAGTTCAACGGTTTTGTTGAGTTACAGCACTCGCCATATTTTGCGTGTATTCATGTGATTGACACTTTTTGAGTTTATACTGTTGGAGAGTGGAAAGGGGAGATGAATGATTCAATTGGTACACTAAGATGTGGCCCATACACGGCTGGAAAAGACAAGGGATAGATTGATTAGCAGCATTAAGAAATCGATAAATCATCGACAATGCAGTGTGAAAATCACTTTTAGCAAATTTCCGCAAGGGGGGGGGGATATGATCGAAAGCTCGATGATGGTGTGCTCTCAGTCCAATGCAAACTTCTTCAGTATTATTATTACTATTTCAAATGGCAGGCTTTATGATAGTTATCATTAGCCCTTAAACTTTGACTTCAGCTTCCCCCAAGGGTGGGAGGGGGGGGGGGTACATTTATAGCAGTTAATTAATAGAAGTTCATTAGTTGTCTTCTTGCTTCCCAGTATATCTGGGTTTCCGTCAATATCTTTAGGGCTGGACAAAGGATCAGGTGGGTCTTCTCCATTTCCTCATGTAGGTTACATAGAGGTCATTTGGGTTAAGTGTATACTCCCAATCTGTGAAGGTGTTTTGCCAGGCAATCGTGTCCGGTGCGTAGTCTAAGCTCAGCAATGGCTTCTATTCTTGGCCAGTCAGCTATGTCGGAGAGTGTCACTGCCCACTGTTTGTCCTTTGTTCTAGCTTTAAGTTCGTTGCACCTTGAGGTCTGGAATTCTCCCTTCGAGCTTTAATTTCGTTGCACATTGAGGTCGGGAATTCTTTTCTGATTAAGGCCTTCATTGTGTGGGAAGACCCCGGTCCATAACCCATTGTGTGAAAAGACGTCAGCCGGTCTGTCTTGCAAAATTGTTGACCCTTTCTTAGCAAGTGCGTCAGCACGCTCATTGCCTTTAATGCCACAGTGACGGGGAATCCGTTGTAGGACCACTGTTTTGTTTTTCTCTCTCAGAAGCTGACTTCATTTGACTTCAATTTGATTTGACTTCTTCAGTATTAAGTCTCCAATCTGATTTGTTAAATAAAATCCCTCCATTGATAGCCAAGTAGGGAAGTCAGGTGGCTTGTCTCCTAGGAATCGTGTATAAGATTGCCGACTCTATCAAGAGCTTCTTAATCTGAGTTATTTATGCAATCGGTTATGCTACTTCCATCTATTTTTACCTTTAAGAAGCGTTAACTATAACACGCCACATCTCATTGATACCATTAATATATGCGTATATCTTTCTACTTAAATGATTTAAGTAATGCATTGACTCATCTTTCAGTTTCGGCTTTGAAGCCCCTCCTCCCTTCAAGACCCAGCAGGAGACCGATGCTTTCCTCCATCGTGCTATTGAGTATCGACTCCGTGCTAATGATGAAGTGCAACCCCAGTGGCGACAAGCTATGGGCATTCTCTCCCTTCCTCAAAATATTCCCGCTGCTATTGGCCTCGAGGCTCAACTGGTTGATGAAATCTGGGCTCAAGCAGGTGATCGCTCAGTTGACGTAAGCCAAAAATCTGTTATTTCTGCCTATATATCCCTTGAAATTATGCTGATTACTTGCTGTCGAATAGTTTTTTTACGTGTATTTCTTATTTGGTTATATTTGCTTTGCTATCTGTTTTGTTAAGCAAGTCTCCTTCGGTAGTGCAGAACTTCCACACAGTGAACTTACCAGGATTGTTGATATTAACTGGAAGGCGGATTGTAAGTACTGCTTGCATCAAATGAAGAAATGGTAATTAGCGGATCAGAGGAATAAGTTGATGGCATTGTTTAAGGAGAATCGAATTTGGAGGAAAGGGGAGACGAAACATTTCTTGCCCTGCTTAATTAAATTGCATTGCCTAGCATTATCCACCGAATGTCGAACTTCGCTCTTCTTCTTCTTCTTCTTCTTCTAAGATTTGTGCGTTGTCCACTTGGGCCGGCATGATTCTTCCATGCTCGAATACTGTTGCAGCTCTGCAATTTCTCTTGTACACCCTTTTACTAGGTATTGCTATACCAAACTTTACTCACGCATGACAGTTGCGCAATTACCCTAGCCCCCCTTATTAACCTTTTTTAACGAGACTTTTTATAGGCGGAATATGATTAATGACTGTCCAGATAAAGAGGACTGTCTAGGTTCTTGAGCCAACATGTACTTTCATATTAAGTTGACAGAAATGTCCCCCCGAACGTATTGCTTCACCATTCAAAATACGGACTTTGACTTTGTGTTGTTGTCGTCTTATCGACCATGTTCCATCTTTGATTCATTCTCCTCAAATTTACCTAATCAACATCTTTCCTTTCCCCAACTTCTAAAAGTGCAAATTTACCCTACTGGGGTTGGGGGGGGGGGGGGGGGGAGTAGAGATGCAATTCCTTATGATTGCAGTCAATTTTCTGACATTACTTTTTACGGAAGCTTTTAGAAAAAAATCACTCTACAGAGTAATTATATTAATTAGCGAAAGTGATACTCTTTTCGTCTTAATCATATTCGTCATAATAGCGGAAATGGGCACTGAGAGACAGGAAATGAAAATTCTAAGAGAGGATTAACGGAAGGCACATTAAGTGCAGAAAAAAACTGAACAGAAATTTTAGGTGGTTTACACTATGCTTGATATTCATTCACACATTAGAATGTGTGTGTGTGTGTGTGTGTGTTTATTCTCGGTCTTTAACCTTTCTTGATAGAGGCGGCTCATGATATCAGAATTTTACTTATCAATGCGAATGTTTAGACAGCCGAATGTCACCAAGTTTTTATTTTAATTGGAAATCGGAATTACTTCCTAATATTTCTGCCTTTCAAGGGTTATCTGGTCTATTGGAGGTATTGCTTTCCAACACCTATTTAGTGTAAATATATTTCATGTTACATTTCATCAACCTGTTTTACCAGTCACTGGATTTACATCAACGAGTGTTGACGACGCTCTTCTGCTTCGTCACTGGCACACAGTTGTTGTCATTCCAATTCATGAGTGTCTTTGTATTTCTTTAACTTTATTTCTCCAGCGATTTGGTTCTCATTGTTTTCTTTTTCTTTTCGCATTAACTATCCTTGATCGTTGGATATTCCCTTCTTATATTCTGATCGAATATCAGATGTCTTCTCTCGGTGAATTTCCTAGTTCAGACAGATGTGTAGGCCCTTTCAGAACGTTATATTGATAGTCAATAAAAGGTCCTATTCATTTTAGCTTCAACAGACTTTCTTTCTTCTTGTTTATTTCAATGAGACTATTTTTTTGAGTAAATTTGCTGGACTGTGTTTTAATTAATTTTTGTTTTCTTTTACTTTTTGTAGATGAACTGGTACGCCAAGCGTTTGGGTCTAGCTTATGTTTACAAGCTTACTGAACTCTTCTACATTCAAGACACCTCTGCGGATCACAAGGAGACCTGGAAATTCCTTGATCGTCGCATCAGCGACCTCCGTTCTATGAAGAAAGCCAAGGTGAGTCTACCTTCTACAAATGTAGGCATCAGTGAATTATAAATTATTTCCACCTTATTCTAAAACGCTTAATGTACTTTAAGACCCCAAAATCGTGCTACCTTCCATCTTCACTGTTTGTGCAATGAAAAGTCCTCGCGCATTCTCTACGAATTTTGTTTTGTTCATATTGAAATCGGACCATTTGGTTTCAGTTAGGGTACTATTCCAATTGAACGCTGTTTATGCGATTTCATTGAGTTGTTTAATAATCTCGTCTTTTATTGTCATTCCGCGATTTAATGCACTTTAAACTTGTTATTTTGAAGGTTGATAAATCGATCAAGTCTTTTGAGTACAGAAATTAATTAATTTGAATTCACTCACTATCTTTGTCGCTACCTGAATTCTTCCAATTTTTTTTTGCAAATAACCTGATCTTATTCATTTGAGGAACCATTATTGGACAAATAGGGAATTTCTTTATGCCATTCTTTTTTGTGCTTATTTGAGATTATTTTGCAAATAGCTGCCAGTATTATCATTTACACTGCCAAAACACTTGTCATTTCTGATGAGTTTGCGTGTCGAAATTTCTCCTCCGAGAGAGGGAAAGGAGATAGATTGGCGTTTGTGTTGTCACTATATGAGATGGAAAGGCGAAAAAAGATATGTTTATATTACATATATATGGCGATTTTTATTGGTCGTGAGTTTCTTTTAGACTACAATGAATGAGAGACTAATTTAATTTTTCTCTAATTTTGTTAACCTACCAAATTATCTGGCTTTCAATTTTGATCTTATAATTTTTACTTTTTGTTAAAAGTTGGAAAATGGGTTTATGCATAAATAAGATAGTGTTATCTCCAATCAAACTCCGCATCCATTCGCTTGTCTTTTTCTTCATTTCCGACGAAATTTCGCATTTCAATATTTGACTCATAAGTTCTTGCGTGATAGTTGGTTACGAGGGTATTCATAATTGATTTATCTATGAGAGGTCATTCTGGTCATCTATTTCATCACTTAGTCAAAGCCTCTTTAATATATATTCTCGACGTGGTCTGCGTCTTGCCCACATGCCAGTGAGCATACTTTTATTTGAACCGGTATTTTAGTGCCTATTGCAAAAAAATTCTCTTTGCTTACAGCACGGGGCATTGTTGTGTGACGCCAATACGAATTGACTCTGGATGTATTTTTCGATCAAGAGAAACCCTTCTTCCTCTCACCCACCCACCCCCCCCCCCCCAGAGTAGCGCTCACTTTTAAATTAGTTTGTGAACGGATTACACACCCCGTGATGAGCCTTTTGGCCATTTCACAAAAGCTCTCTTTATGAACTCGCCTACTATGTAGTTGCCAGACTTTTTTTTCAGACGGAAGTTGTGTCACTTAGAAATGCAGTGGTATTTATATGGGCGTGGCGTATTTATTCCTTCACAAACACTGTCGTTGTGGATGTGAGGATAAAAGTTAATTCTCGCGTTGCGTGAGGTTTAGCCATCTCCTCCTAGCTGCTGGTGTCTGGAAATTTAAATGTTCTCTTTTTTCATAAGTATATCATTAAACAAAAAACTTGCGTGGGGATAAATCGTGGAGTTCCAGGTGGAAACTTCATTTAAGTTTATTTATTTATTTAAAATGCCAGGCGTTTTGATAGTTATCATTAGCTCTTTAGCTGACTTCGCTTCGCCAATTTGTACTTTATCAGATCATTAAGTTTAATTGATACATTTTTAGTCTCTCTTACTCTCACCCTCTCTCATTTTTAATATTTGTTAAGAAAAGTGCTTCTCCACGACTTGATTTGAGTTGATTTAGCCTACTGGGAAATATATCTAAAATTCTTCCGATGTGCATTTTGAAGAGTAGATGTGTTGACGAGCAACACTTTAGAGTCGAGGTTGCATGTTTATGTTAATTTTTGGCCATTTCAACGAACCTCGTAGAGTCTACGTAAGAAGAAAAAGTGATTTAAAAGTGTGTGTGTGTGTGTGTGTGTGTGTGTTTGTGCGTATGTGTGTGTGTTGTGCTGCGCGAGGAAAACTGGTTGGTTTTAATTATTCCTCTCTCACTACTAACATCACGCTAGACAAAGTGTCCTGTCATCTTAATTAATGCATTCATGCAATTTTAATGCGAGAGTGAGAGAGAGCCGCTAACCTTCCCCCTTCTCTCTTTCATACCTCCAGCATCCAACTTTTCAACTGACTATGGGGGGGGGGGAAATATCCGATAAGATCAGAACCACGTTGCTTAGTTTTCTAGAGAAGATAAGTACACACACACACACACACACACCCATGTCCATGTTATATAAAATAGAACTTCTTTAAGTGGGGATGTGCGATAGACTTACCTCCACGTGGTGCACCCTGGGCAACGTATATTCATACGACAAAAAAGTCTATTAACTGGCAGTTGACTTCTCACTTCTAACTACCATCACCTCACTCTATGCCATATTCGACTATATCAACAGTACTCACCTCACCTTTTTCTACCTTTGTGTGTGTCTCTTACATCTTTGAAACACTCCTCTGTTCACCCCCCCCCCCCTCTCGATTTTTTTCACTTTGATGTACCTTCCCCTCTGTGAAGACTGAAGTCAACTTGAGGGCTAATGATAACCATCAAGACGCCTGCCATTTGATATAAATAAAAAATACTTCTTTAAGTGGAATTTACGAGACCAAATGAGTGTCTCCTAAGTCTGAAATGGCAAAGATCGTGCTGTATCAGTGCGTATTGCAGATTTACTCTCAATGACCAACTTCACCCTGAGTTCACGTCTGATTCAAACTCCCGACTTCTAGCTAGACTCCATTGTGTTGTCCATAAACTCAAGATGTTTGTTGAAAAATAATTTTCCAAATTGGTTGGGGCGGTGGGGGGGGGCGGGGCGAGGTGTTAATGTTTTAGTGTCCCACGGGAACACATACTACTTATATGGTAAATATTTGCACAACGTGTTTCTAAAAAATCAAATGAAGTGGTGCTCTCGTAATCTTTTCTCGATCTCTTCTTCCTTCTAATTTTTTTTGGCCTTTCAGTTGCTTCTCGCAATTAAACCCCTTGTTTTCTTAATGCTGTCATTTGGTAATAAATTTGCATTTATTGACTTGCAAAGATATTCATTTTTCTCTCTATGCGAGCAGTCATTGAGAGCTTTTCATATTTTTTAGTGCTTAAATGACGTAATTGTCGCAGTTGAATTCCGTATTCCCGTGAATAAGTATCCATTTGCTAATTACAGTGTATCGTTTTGAATATTTTAATGACTCGCGTGTGGGGACTTTTGCACAATTTTAGTATGTCTGAGTGTGAACTAATTGTGCGTAGTTTTGGCAGTTTTGTAGACTCGTCGATAGGCTTCTTAACATGGAAGAGTAGGATAGAGGTTAAAAGGTAGCGGTAATATAAGGTCAGATCATCGAATGGACATTAAATTATTCGATTTCCGAGTTCACCAATTCATCTCGTCTTTCTGGTAAATGTCATTCACCACTAAGTCATTGATCCCTCCATCACGACAAATTTGCTCCATTAACAGCAAAATCATCTATCCAAAACTAGCTGAGATACTTTCAACATGTGAGAGATCATTAAGTACCCATAAACGAGTGGCTTAGATTGCATATTAAGTTATGATCGCAGACTAGGCGTATTCTATGTTCATATTTGTAATTGAAGAGCACTTAAAACCTTGATCTCACGGGTAACGAAGGGGTCACTTGTAGTATCCTCTTACGTTTTCTGCTTTTATCCGCACGCACGCACTCACAAGCACGCAATTAGAGCTATCTCCTCCACCGTTTACTGCTTCCCTCACCTCTCATAATTGCTATCTCACATTCATCTTTCCTCCCCCCTTCCCCCC